TCTCTCTCCCTCTGCCCCTCCCCTGCTCATGCTCTCTCTCTCTCTCGATCTGTCTGAAAAAAAAAAAGGTACCCTCAAGGAGCATCCACCAGAAGAGAGGATATGGTCCATCTGAACAATGTGATTCATGTGAAAAAGTTCTGTCCAAAATAGCAAAGTGACATATAGATAACGTTCCTTTACTTGTGACGACATTAGTAATAATAGTGACAATAACATCTATCGTGTACATAGTACTTATTAAATGCTAGAAAATTGTTCTAAGTACCTTATGTATATTTTCTCATTTACTCCTCAAAGCAACCTTTTCAGGAAGGTTTTGTTAATATAATTATTTTATAGATAATAAAACTGAGGCAAAGATGGGTTAAGTAACTGGCCCAAAGACACATGGATAATGACAGAACTAAGATTCAAACCTAGGAATTCTGGCTTGACTTTCCGTGCTAATAACCACTATACTTTGCTTCTATTTTAAGTGGACAATGTGTTCCATATTCTTTCAGTGTGACATATCAGACTTTCAGAATACCTAAAACTTGGGCATTAAGCTATTCAGTAGTGCATGCAAATCATTTTACTTGATATGTAACTTGTCTGAAAGTTATTAATATTATTACTGCCGGCAAGTGGCTTTAGTCTAGGGAAAGAATACATGCTTATAAGATTGCAAATGTGATGTGATTCATATGCATGGTTGACATGTTTAGAGCCCGTCATAGCTTTGTGGGAATGGACTTTTGGGATGGTACGTGGTTTTCCTCGTGACTCAGGCTACCCCTACCCCAGAAAATCTGAGAGCTGCCACATACACAGGATTCACTTCCTTCTTGATGGAGAGCATCACAGTCTTCCGTGGGGAAACTATTAGATTAACATGCCATAGAAAATTTACTTTTGTGAAATTTCACCGAACCAGAAACAGTTTCAACCCTACCTAGTTCAAACAAAAAAAGCTTTCCAGTTTGAGCCCAAACAACCAGATGGTGAACTAGTACATTTTATGCATGTTGCTGATCAAGTATGTTTTCCACAATCTTGGCAGCGAGGGGATACCACTGATAGGGTAAATATGTCACTGATAATTTGTCAGTTTGCCCTACTAATGACAGAAACTGTAACTATCAAAATGATTAAAAAATTATCTAAGCAATAGCTGTCAACCCCGAAATTTTGAAGACCATCTTTGCCATAGAACATGCATGGGGTCAGCAACTACAGTATGAATTCTTCTAGATCTTAGTGGGTACCTACCCCTTGGCTACATGTAATTTCCACTGATGGCTTATAAGAAGAACCCTGTGGGTTTAATGCCTTTCTTACAAGGGTATAAATGGAAAACAAAGATAAGGCTTCCGTTGACATTTTTTTATCGTGTTCGAGATATATTTATTTTCATTACTGTATTCTTTTCTTATTATTTGTAAGAATGTTCCAAATCTAATATGCAGGGCAAAATTATTATTCAAAAAGAATTGTCTCCATTTTATTGAACCAAGATGTAATGTGACCTTTTAGAAGAGAACAGACCCCCATCCCGTGTTTTGTTTGTTTGCTTCATGCACAAAATGAATGCGGTTGTGTCCCTTGAACAAAGCAAGAGATGCACAGAGCAACCTCAGGAAATAGACTGAGTTGAAAGATTTAAAAACATAGTGCAGCCCAAGGAAAGATAAATTGTTGATGATACGGCTTCAGAAGCTGAGTCAACAAAGTTGGGAGTCAAAGAAAAAAGATACGCATTTATAGCAGAAAACAAAGAGAGAAAAATCCCCATCTTGAAAGTCACCCCCTTAATATTGAGTAATTGTTAACAGTCTACTTGCTGAAACCCACAATTCTTTGGCAATATTTTAGTATATTCCAGAGAAATCACCGAGATCTGCTGTGCATACTCTTCTACTTCGGCTCCTTCCCAACTGGCCAGATTTCTCTCTTTTATTTATGAGTTTGATTAAAATGTTAACAAAAACTATAGCTAAACTCAAATAATGCACTGGTCTGGGCATAAGGCGTACAAACTGCAAATAAATGTATTTAGTAAGATATTAGGATCTTGCATCAGAAGTACATGTTAAAATACGACTGCGCTGCCCCTGTGAAAAGGAAGTGGTTTTGTTACTTTATTTACCGATTAGGTTTTATTGCAGGCTGTATTATATTCTGACAGTTCTGTAGTGAAAGTGTATTCTGATGCCACTTAGGACGGCAGAGTGGTGCTAAATTTCTCAGAGAACAGAATAAAACTGCTTGGAAAACATATGTTTAAGTCATGTGTGGTTTGTCCAGTTTGGTTCAGAAGTGACTTTGCCTCAAAAGGAAAAAGTGCAATTCCATGAAAGAGGAATGATAAATATTTTTTACCTCTTTCAAAATTTCATTTATTTATTTATTTTGAGAGAGAGAGGGAGAGAGCACAGACATGTGAATGGGGGAGGGGCAGAGAGAGAGGGAGAGAGAGAATCCCAAGCAGGCTCTGCACTGCCAGTGCAGAGCCCGACACAGGACTTGAACTCACGAACCATAACATCCTGACCAGAGCAGAAATCAAGAGTCAGATGCTTAGTCGACTGAGCCACCCAGGTACCCCAGGAATAATATTTTTTTTTAAAAAAAGGAAGAGGAGTTAAAAAACATGGCTTTCAGTATTACATGTCAATTATATCTCAATAAAACTGGAAAATGAAGAATAGAAAGAATAAATCCATGACTTTGACTTTTTTGAGAGAAAAGTGTGGCAGACAATGGGAGAAATCAAAAGTTGGGCAGCAAGCAGTCTTTGCCCTGCAGGAAGCGCCCACTGGTGTGTGGGGTGTGGGGTGCAGGATCGTAGCTTCTCATTTGCCTTAGGGGTCCTCTGGGGAACTTGGAAGGGGCTCCAGTACCACCAACATGTGTAAAACCTTGGATTGAATAACTTGTTTGGTGAGTGTTCCAAAGGATGAGCAAACGTTTGTAATAAGTTTTAACTGGATAAATGAGTGATGTCTTGCAATGCGAGTCTTACATGATGCTGAATGTCACATGATCACAACTGAGCCAACAGTTCATGCAATTCACTTTGATATACAAGTGGTTTGGATTACAGGCATGTTTCCAGAATGAATTATGCTCACAAACCAAGGTTTTACTGTACTTCATTTCTTCCTCTCAGCTGCCAGACTGAGGTGAGATGCAGCGTGAACGTGGAGCTGGTGCAGGTAGGGGGTTTTTGGTGAACTCTAATATGATAGTACGTTTTTGAAGGGATAGACAATAGGGCCCCGGGGACTTGTATCACCACCTTCCTTATCCACTCCATCCCCTTGTTATTTATCCTGTTGTGTCCTCATGAGCTTTCTATCTGGATTCTTAGTCCCGGCCTTTCAAATCCTGCAGGAATGACGCCATTGCCCTTGGGCCTCGAGTCTGATCTCATTCCTCCAACGTGATGTACAAAGTGTGACTAGAGAGTCCTGGCCTGAGCCCTATTGTGAAATGAAAGGTCATTTTTAGCATATGGAATCCTTGTCCCTCATCGAAAAAAAATTTCTCTCCCAGTATTAAGCTCTCGCTCTAAAATTTAACAACACTGAAATCTTTATGAATGTGTGAAAGCCGTATATATTACCACTTACTGACAAGCAGTGATGACTATATCAGAATAAGTCAAAATTAGTTTAAAAATAAATTTATTTGGCCATAAATATATCAATGTGACAAGAGTGACTGAGTTTGCTAATCGTTATTCTTGGTTTTACAGACATGAAATTTCTCTTCAAAGGCGAGTGAGAAGGGGGTGATATAGAGATCGGGAGATGAATGAACCCCTGAAGTTTACTTTGGAAAACTTCTGGTTTTTAAACCACATCCAGATTATCAGTGCGGTGCTTTGGAAAGTATCACGTGAGTTACAGTAAACTGGCCTGGTTAAAACAGAAAAAAAAAAGAGGGCATCAATAATTATGTTGAATGAGGGGCACCTGGGTGGCTCAGTTGGTTGAGCATCTGACTTCAGTGCAGATCATGATCTCACAGTTGACAAGTTCGAGCCCCACGTCAGGCTCTGTGCTGACAGCTCAGAGCCTGGAGCCTGCTTTGGATTCTGTGTTTCCCTCTCTCTCTGCCCCTAACCTACTTCCATTCTGTCTCCATCTCTCTCAAAAATAAATAAACATTAAAAAAAAATTTTTTTTAATGTTGAATGAGATTTAAATATATGACCCCTGGTTTTTGTTCCAGATTTGTTGGAGATCACTGTTGTCCACTGTCTTGGCCATTAGGGGACTGATGTAGGAAGAGTGGATACAAGTATTTTCAGCTTGAAAAACATTTATGGTAAGGCTCTGTTATAATTGTATGGACAAAAGCCCGTTTTTAGATATACAGTTCACCTGAATGAAGAGCTAATTAACCTCTACTATGGGAAGATGCTCTTGACAGATGTTTGGCAGTTGAATGTGGCATGGAGGGAGCTATCTCAGGCTGGGATAAAGTATGTAAATATAGTCCATACCATAGTAATTTGTTACTGGGAAAAGAAAGTCACTGGTACTTAAGAAAGTCACTCTATAGTACTTATTCTGGGTCTTACTTGGATGTCTTGTGCACAGCATAGACCTTAATAGCAGCCATCTCCCATGGAGGGTTCATGGCAGCGTGGCAGGTTAGGAAAAGTGGGGGAGACATAACTTGTAATCCCTGAGACAGTTTGTGGAGATTAGTTGTTCTCTCAGCTTCTCAAGAGGAGAAGAGACTGATGGGCAAAGCAAAAGAGAAATCTGGAAGAAGATGATATACAGAACACAAAGTGGCTATGCTACACTGTTTCCACTAAGCCTCCCAGAGTGAGTCACAGCAAGAGGCACAGATTGAAGCATATCAAGGTGTTCTTCAAGAAGTTATCCAAATGCGTAATGTCACACACTGGGAGAACTTGACCACCTCCAGTTGTGAAATAGAAAAATGGCTACTCTTTCCTTTACCAAAATTGGATAGCTTGTTGTTGGTGAGACCAACCTGTATGGTGTCTTCTTTCTCCCCAGCTGAATGGTGGGCATAACTTTTGCCTCTACATTCCTCTGTAGACCAGGAAGGGAAGTTGAATCCAGTGGTGATGTGAGAAAATGGTCCCGGAATTTTCAGAGTACACAGGTTCCTCTGGTCTATGGACGTGAACTCTAGGGTGGTTGGAACAAAGCCACTTATACCTATACCTCAAGGTATAGGTAAATACCTATACCTTATACCTCAAGAGAACCCCTTTTGAGTTCTCTTTCTGAGGACCTGGCTGTGAGGCAGTTTATGTTGCCTGGACCCTGTGAGGTCTGTTCCAGCGCCTGGTCTCCCCTGCTCTGCAGAACATGAGCTGAGAAAATGTGCTGTAGTCAGACACAACCCCACCAAGAAGAGTGGAGTCAGCCTGGAGAAGATAGGAAGCTGCTATACCTGGAGATGCTGGACACGCAGACAGCAGGACTGACAAGCTGACGATCAAGGAAGTCACTAGAAACGAGAGACAGGGAGGAAGGTATGCCTCATACTTCACAGTGAAGAGGCAGAGGCATATCCTTGGACTCACATTACTTCAGAGAAGAAAGTACATACATCTGTCAGACAGTAAGGAAAGATAGCCAAGTTGAAGCATGTTACGGTAAAATAGGATAGAAAAAGGATTTTTCGATACAATGAATTGCCTCAGATCTGACAGGGAGATGTGACTGGCATTATACCATTAATAGCATTTAAGACTAAAAAGACAACTGACAAAGGCTTGGCCAATTTTTCAAAAGACATACTGGAAAAAAGCCCCCCAAATCTCTCATAGTGAAGGGAATGCTGTATTCCTTTATATTTTTCCCTCTGGGCAGGCATGGAGGACATGTGTTACTTCTCTGTGGAGAATGTCAGATTTTCAGGTAGCCATGATGTGAGTGTGAATCATCTTCTGTAGATCATAAAAAGGCAATTTTAAAGTAGTGAAACCAAGATGATTTTGAAGGAAATGTTATAAGGAATTATAACGAACAATGATTGAAAATGGAGGTTTGGGCTGTGGAACCTGTATCTTTGAACTTACCCAGCGTGGCCTGTGGGAAAAATAAAAGAGAAGCCCTGATGAGGCATGGTCTGACTTGATCTGATACACAATTATACAAAGGATGCATTCATATTACAATATTGTAAACAGGGAAAGAGCTGTGTATGATAGCCCATCAAAAAAGTGTGTTTGAGATCCAACACCTTGATACTAAAAGAGATATAGTCACAGGGCACCTGGGTGGCTCAGTCAGTTAAGCGTCTGACTTCAGCTCAGGTCATGATCTTGCAGTTCATGAGTTCAAGTCCAGCACTGGGCTCTGTGCTGACAGCTCAGAGCCTGGAGCCTGCTTTGGATTCTGTGTCTGCCTCGCTCTCTGCCCCTCCCCCGCTCATGCTCGGTCTCTGTTTCTCAAAAATAAATACACGTAAAAAAAAAAAAAAGAAATATAATCTGTGCCTGAAAACCACTAGTTAGAAACTTATACTGTTCTGTACATGATTTTAAAATATCAAGAGAGGGGCACTTGGGTGGCTCAGTCACTTAAGTGCCCAACTCTTGATTTTGACTCAGGTCATGATCTCATGGTTTGTGAGTGTGAGCCCTGCATTGGGCTCTGTGTTGACAGCACACGGAGCCTGCTTCAGATCCTCAGTCTCCCTCTCTCTGTCCTTCTTCCACTCGTGAGCTCTCTCAAAAGTAAATAAATGTAAAAAAAAAAAATTAAAACCATCAGAATAAATATTTTTAAATGTTCTCATGCACATTGGAAAGCCTGAAATTCCATGCATTGCTTTGATGTCTCTGAGCCTCCCCCCCCACCCCCCCACCAGAGCCTCACTGGGAGTTCCCTGCTTTCCTCAGGTCTGTCCCCAACAAGTGAGAAATCTCACACTGGGTAGTTCCCTATCATCTGGCCTCACTGTCCCCCACCTGGACTTCAACCTAATAGGTTCACTTTTCTGTAGGCCAGCAAAATTACCAAGACAATTCCATCCTTCTGTAGGGACCAGGGGTCACCTCCCACTCTTGCCACTACAGAGCCTACGTCTCATGGCCCCTGCTGGTTCATCTTGCCATGTGGGCCTTGCATGCAACTCCCATGTGGGCCTTGCATGCCGTGTAGTGCCCTCCTCCTCCAGGCTGGGAGTATTGTAAGTGACCCACTGCCATTACTGGGGACTGTGCATTTGACCATCTCATACCTTTTAGGGCCTGGGATCCCTACTTCACCAACAGGGTGAATAGGAGGTGGTCAGAATAGCATGTAGGCATAAGCTTTGGTGTTTCTCCTTCCTTTCCCAAATGCATCCTGGCAGCCCTTTTAGCTCCAACCAAGGTCAAATCAGGACTTGGTCTCTTAGGAAGTTTTTGCCGTGTTATCAATGTTTTCAAGTGAGTTATAGGTTCTCCCCATGCACTGCAAGGTCCTATGCTTTCTTTGCCTGTAAAAGATAGCTCATTAAGCTCTAATCCAATAGCCCAATAAACAAGGAACAATAGAGACAAAACAGTTGAAGAAATCATAATGCATTTTATAATTCTTCCTGAAATCTGGTCCAAGCTGGCCTGGTTAGAAATCCATTTCTAAGAAGAAAGAACTACTTTTAAAAAGAAAAGAACTTTTATGAACCCTTGCTATTATGCATGGTGCAGAGTTATATGAAGAAAATAAATCATTCTAATATGTTTACCAAAGCTTATAGTTACTCGTGACAATAAGAATGGGTGTTAAGTCCATAGATTAGGGGTTGCAAACTCAACTCATGACAAGAACCAGGCAGGTAATTAAATGGCTGAAGCAGGGTGGAGGATGATCTAATTTTAAATGTTGGCAACTAATTAAAATGTATTAAAAGTCCTGCATAAGCCAAACAAAACACATCTGGGGACCACATGTCCAAGGGCAAGCCTAGAGCAACTTTTGAAATCCTGTTAATTCTTCAAGGCCTGAATTGTGGGCATGCCCTTCCAAGAATCCTATGACTGCAGGGGTGGGTCAGGCTGAGCCTGCCCTTCCTGGAGCTTTTATTGAACTGGTCATGAGAAGTACAAACGATGGCCCTTTTGTTCCCTCACTGTTGCCTTAGTGGGGCTTTTATTCCTCATAGGATTGAAGGTCCTTGGGAACAGAGACCATGTTTTATGTTTCTCTCATTGTTTTCACACCTTTTAGTTCCTGACTCAATAATAATAATAATAATAATAAATATAATAATGGCAGCAGCTACCATTTATAAATCTCTTTCCATGAGTCTGACCCATTTCTTTTTTTAAAAATTTTTTTACATTTATTTATTTTTTGAGAGACATAGAGAGACAGAGCACAAGTTAGGGAGGGGAAGAGAGAGAAGGAGACACAGAATCTGAAGCAGGCTCCAAGCTCCCAGCTGTCAGCACAGAGCCTGACATGAGGCTCGAACTCACAAACTGTGAGATCATGACCTGAGCCGAAGTCGGATGCTTAACCAACTGAGCCACCCAGGCGCCCCGAGTCTGACCCATTTCTAATGGGTTTTACTTATATGATTTAATTTTCACAATCCTTGTGAGGGAGGTACTATTGTCATCCCATTTTACTGATTGGCCAGCCGAGGCGCGGAGAAGTGAAGTGACTGGCCAAGGTCGCCCAGCTGGTGAGATGTGGAGCCAGTTAATTTGGCCAGTCGGATTCCACAGCATGTGTGCTCAGGCACTACAGTACAACTATTAACTAGTTCAACATAGTTGTTTTCTAGCTAAGAATTTTAAACTTTCTTGCGCCACAATGTTTCGCACATAGTGCTAGTGACTCTTAAGATGGTGAGCTGAAAAACCTTTCTGTTTTATTTCCGCCTCTCTTCCCTTTCTGTCTTGTGTCCGCTTTTGATTCCTAATAAGGGACGGAATAGTGGAATTAACATACAGCAACGATCCCCGTAAGAAGCCAAAATAGCCACATAATATTTGTTCTTACTCTTTGCTCAAAATTAAGCGGATGTCAGTGCAGGCTCACCAGTCTGGAAGTTTTGTGTGGGCACTCCGCAGCAGAATCGCCAGATAAGAGATACTGAACAGTTTTGCGAGAAGAACTTGAGAGGAAAGAGGGAAGTTCTCGGCGGTGAGGAGTTTGCCCTTTCTGCAGTTGACAGCGGTGAATAAATTACTGGTGAGATGAACTGGGAAAGGGTCTAGGGTTTTGTGACTGCAGGCATATCAATATTTGACCCCTGCTTCATTAGTGTTTCTTCTCTAGGTGGAAGAGAAACGATTCATGCATCGGACTTTTTCATTGTGTACTCAGGATCATAAAACATATTTGATAAACATTTCTGAGACCAAGTTGCTCTGAGATTGTGTTATCGTTACTAACTATTCTTTGTGTAATAGCAGAACTTGTTTGTAAGACACAAATGACCCTATTCTCCTGGTCTGAATGGAAGATGGAGATTTGCTCGTCACATCCACCCATGTATGTTCTGGTATGTTCTAAGTTTATATTATTATTATTACCTTTTATTTAGAGAGAGAGAGATAGAGAGCAAGTGGGGAAGGGGCAGAGGGAGAGAGAAAATCCCAAGCAGGCTTCGCACTGTCAGTGCAGAGCCCGATGTGGGCCTCAAACTTACAAACCGTGAGATCATGACCTGAGTCGAAGTCAAGACTCAGAAGCTTTGCCAACGGAGGGACCCAGGGGCCCCTGTTATGATATGTTCTAACACCACTTGAGAGTTGCTTGGCTCTCCAGCTGTTGAGAAAAGCCTTAACGGTTTGCTTTCTAGAGCCAGGATACATGCACTGTGGGAGGATGTAGAAAAGAATAAAAATGGACTCCTTCACCTTCTCTATCTCAAGTCCTCTCCTGGCCAGACTGCTGCAGACAGAGGTGGCACATGGCCTCTGGACATAGCCCTTCAATGCTGCTGTGAACATGAATCATGATGATATTTTGAGAAGTCCTTCTACTGATGCTCAGGCTGAAAGCCATGGTCACTTGACCACATATCTGCACCTAACATGTCAACATCCTCTCCATACACCTCAGTCCTTCTGCTGCCAATCACAGCTTGTCTATCTTAAGTCCCATCCCCTCAGGACCCTGCATTCTTTGCAATGATAATGGGTCCTAATGGAATAATTTGAGAGACTAATCTCTGATAATGTTACTCTTCTCAAGAAAAGTCTATTTTAGTCTAGTTAAAATGCAGAGCACCTTTAGAAGGTCTTTATGGAGTGACAGGAAAATTGGAAATTTCTGACAGACCAATCAAGAGGAGATATTTTGGTGAGTGAAGCCTTTTATAACTCCACAACTTATGCCAGCTAAGGAGACGGCAGCTGCCTAAAACTCATAGATGTGCAATAACTCATGTAGCAGTGATCTAGCTTTGGTCACACACACACACATACACACACACACACTCCCTCTCACCTCTTCAGGATATATGAATATTAACTCACGTGCTACGCTGAAAGCCTAGCAACCAAAAGGTAGAAGTTTGCATAGTCTAACAAAAAATGCGTAGAAAATTTTATCCGATATAATTTGACATTTAAAGGGGTATAGAACAATTTGATGATGCTCAAAATTTTTCAACACCTGAAATATTTCATTATTGAGGAACGTTTAGATGTATTTTGTTATGCCCATCAATGAATATTGTACTATGCAATTATTTAAATAGTCAGAAAGGAAGGTGAGCGAACAAATTCAAAAAGTACACACACACACGCAGAAATACACACCTATATATTTGTGAGACCATACATATTCCAGTGTAAGACAGGAAGTCTATAGAACAATATCTGAGCTCTGTGTGTGTGTGTGTGTATGTGTGTGTGTGTGTGTGTGTGTCTGAGGATGCCTCTAATGTTAAGCTTTATCTTTCTTTGCATTTTGGACAATTCACGTGTATCATTTGAAAAGTAATTAATAGACGAATGCAATGGTGATGAAAGAAATAAGTCTCTGTGTGTCACGACAGCACCAGCTCTTGATTTGTTACCAGATAAAGAGGCAGACAGCCTCCAGTCCTGTTTTTCCTCATCTACAAGATGTACTATATCAACATGGTCCTGGCAAGCAAGGCCCAGTGTTTCTATATCCTGATGGGAGAAGGCAAAGGGTAATTAGTGCCTCCCGAAGCAGGAAAGGCAGGTGGGTGCTGGGCATCATGTCGGGCATGCAAAGCCTTTCTCAGCAGAAGTGAGGGTGCCGGAGGCTATCTTGGTGGTTGTCCTGGCCTGGAAGCCAGTGTGCTTTGCTCTGTCTGTTCCCCCAACACACTGCCTATCCTAACCCCACTTTTAGCAATTTCCTCTTGCTTGATTTCACAGCACCAGTGAGTTAGCTGCACTAGCTGAGTGTTCTGCAGGTTGACTGAGTGAGCACTTTTTGATGAGAACCACTCCCAAGTGACTGCTTTTGGTCAGGATCTTTGGTGTTGGGACAACTGCAGACTCTGGCTTCTGGGACTACCCGAAGACCCTAAGGTCTTCTAAGCTCCTAAGACCCTAAGCTCCTCTAAGTCTGAGGAGCTGTTCTAGTGTCCTTCAGACTCCCTGCCAAGCCTTGTTATGAGGGGCAAATAAATAACAGAGATTGTTTTTACATTACAGTAAAAATGACAGAATTCTGCTTCTGTCCCCAGTGGAGCAATGGAGACTGCATTTGCCCATCCATGTTAAATAACCAAATCTAGAAAAATAATTCAAACAATGGGTTGCAGAAACAGGACACCAGGCAGCACAGGATACTGATCCACAATAGAGGAGAAACAAACAAGGTAAGTATCTATGATTGTCCTACCTTCCTTCCTAGAGAGAGTTTCCATGCCATAGCACAGGGAGGGGGAAGATAGATAGAGTCCAGAAGTCTCCCTGAGTTAGGAGAGAAAGACTTCAAAATTTTGTTAAGCCCAGGTGGCTGAAATTTGCAGGGAAGAATATTGGAGAAGAGAGAGCTGCTCCCCACATGAGAGGGGCACGGAGAGCGAGCTCTGGAGATCTCAAGGCTCCCAGCTCACCCTGAGTCCTCAGCTGATAGTGATCAGTGCATGCATCTGAGGAGACTCTTTGAGGACAGGGAAAGAACTACTGGAAAGGGAAGATTGAACAACTCACAAAGCTTGCACAGGGCGAGGAAGGCCTTGTGTTTTTCTAGATAGCTTAGAGAAACCCTATATTGTGTGGACATCAGAGTTGGTTCTAGACTAAAAGCTGTTGTGGTTTCACCCAACAAAGCTTGAAGTAGAACCTTGAAAGGTTTAAACTGTGTATTAGTAACTTAGCTGCACCTTGGGATAAAACTCAAGAATATTTAAAGTTATGGAAAAATACCCAACACTCAATAAGATGAAATTTGCAAAGTTTGGCCTCTCATCTAAAATTACTTGTCAGGCAAAGAAGCAAGGAAAGGCAGCCTGTAATGAGGAGAAAAATTAACAGAAAGAGAGAAAGATGACACAGACAGTATAAAAATAGGCACAGAGATTAAGATTTATTATAAATAGACTCCATATATTCAAGAAGGTAGAGGAAAGAATGACCATATGAAAGAAATATATGGAAGATATGAAAAAGGGGCTACTCAAACTTTTAGATAAAAAATACAAAGTCTGAGATGAAAAATACACTAGAGGAAACTAATAGTAGATTAACTGCAGATCACACATTGTTGAGGAAAAGATAAGTGAATATGAGGAAATGAAAGAAGAAAAGAAACCATCTAAACTTAAAAATAAACAAAAGATGGGGCACCTGGGTGGCTTAGTCGGTTAAGTGTCTGACTTCGGCTCAGGTCATGATCTCACAGTTTGTGAGTTCGAGCCCTGCATCCAGCTCTGTGCTGACAGCTCAGGGCCTGGAGCCTGCTTCAGATTCTGTGTCTCCCTCTCTTTCTTCCCCTTCCCTGCTCATGCTCTGTCTCTCTCAAAAATAAAATAAGCATTCAAAAAAACTTAAAAAATAAAAGGTGAACCATATCAGCTCTGGGATGACTTCAGGAGTTTTAAGGTAAATGTAACAGAGAATTCCCCAAACAGAGGGGGTTAGTACAGGAAAACTATTTGAAAAATAATGGCTCTAAAGAATGAGAAGACAAGCCACAGACTAGGAGAAAACATCTCTAAAAGACACAACTGATAAAGGACTGTTATTCAAAATACACAAAGAACTCATAGAACTCAACTCTAAGAAACTGAGCAACCGGATTTAAAAATGGGCAAAGGAGATGAACAGACACCTCCCCCGAGAAGATATACAGATGGGAAGTAAGCATATGAAAAGACATTCAACATGCACACCAACCAATGGCTAGAACCCCCCAAAATGGCAACAACAAATGCTGATGAGGATGTGGAATAATGCAAACTCTCATTCACTTCTGGTGGGAATGAAAAAAATGGTACAACCACTTTAGAAGACAGTTTGGCAGTTTCTTACAAAACTGAACATATTCTTACCATACAATCCAGCAACTGCACTCCCTGATGTTTATCCAGATGAACGAAAACTTATTTCCACACAAAACCCTGCACAGAGATGTTTATAGAAGCTTTATTTACAATTTCCCCAAACTGGAAAATAGATGAATCATAAATAAACTGTGGTACCTCCAGGCAATGGATTATTATTCAGCTAAAAAGAAATGACCTATCAAGCCAGACCTGGGGAAAAAAAACTAAATGTGTATTTCTAAGTGAAAGAAGTCACTCTGAAAGGCTACATACTGTATGATTCCAGTTATATGGTATTCCGGAAAAGGCAAAATTGTGGAGACAGTAAAAAGATGAGTGGTCACCAGTGGTTCCATCCTAAGAAGGAGTAAGCTAGCATAACAAAGGGGATTTTTAGGGCAGTGAAACTATTTTGAGTGATACTACAGTGGTGGATACATGACATTATATACTAATAAAAACCCATAGAATGTACGATACCAAGATTAAACTCTGACAGCAAGCTTTGAATGATAACCATGTGTCAATGTGGATTCACTGATTGCAACAAATGTAGCAATCTGGTGTGGC